AAAAGAAAGAGAGTAAGAGGAAGAGAGGGTAAATTGCCACAGTCAGTCAGTCAGTCAGTCCATCCAACAAAGCGAAGAGGCAACCCATTGCCTTCACACTATGCATGCTCCTCCGCAGCTCAAGTCCTCACATCCTGGCCCGGAAAGCTCTCAACGGTTTCATGTCTTTCGTCGCGTAGTAGTAAGTTCCGGATCTGTCGGTCCAGCTCACGCGGTTCGAGAAGTACTCGTCTTCCCTCTGCACGAACATGTTCACGGGCGAGTCGACGTTGCGCATGCTGATCTTGTGGCCGATCGGCACGAATGGCTTGAGAGACACCACCTGGCAGCCCTCCTTCAGATCCAAGAACATGGAGAGCAGCGTCTCGTTGAGTCCGGCCGTGAAAGCCTGGTTGTTAACGAGCACGACGTCGGCTCTCTTGAGAACCTCGCCAATACGGGTGTTAGCCGTGAAGTCGCCGCGCAGAAGATGCACTTTGCCCACGTTAAGGCCCCAGAGCTTTGCGCGGGCTGGGAACTCTTTGGCTTGCAAGTCTGCGAGGTCGCAGGGGTTGTCCATCATCTCGATACCCCAGCTTTCCGCTCCGATTTCAAGTGCAGCTTGCAGAACAACGTTGCCCACGCCGGAGCCGAGGTCCACAAACACTTGTTCGTGGTTCAGTCGTGTCTTGCGCAGGATCTCGCTGACAAAGTCGGGGAGTAGCTCGCCGTAAACGTTGTCGCTGCCGTTCTTGTACTTTTTGAGATTATCAACTCGAGGGGATACGGTCCGACTGTACGTTTGCTCCAGGATGCGCTTCACCAGAGGAAGCGGTAGGTGGGTCTTGCGGACCAGCTCGCGGTGGATCGTGCCGTCTTGTAGCAGCGGCTTGATCAGCTTGTTGAAATCAAGCACCGTATCCTCGAAGTCTTCCACGCTCTCGCAGCCCCACGCCCTGGAGAACAGGCGGTTGAAACTCTCCTGGTTCTCGGGATCCGTCGTCTTCCTGCTGAGATCCTCCGGAAGATAGAATTCGCAGATGTGCTTGACAGTCTCGATGATGTCTTCCATGGGCTTGTAATCCACATCTGACTTTGGCCATTTCAGTTGAAATCGTTCCATGGGAGAGTTGCTCGGGTATTGCAGCGACACGGTTGTCGTCTCGTCTCTTCCAAAGACATTCCTGTACTTCTTCTCTTGCCCTCTAGATGTGAGGCTGTAACCATGCACAAACTTCAACGCTTTGCCGTCTTCTCTTACAGTCTCCGAGGCGAATGTCCTCCTGGGCCCAGTGCTTTCCACAGAGCTCACACTACTCTTGATGCGTTTGCGCGAGGCGTCGGAGTCGCTACCTCCAATCTCGCTGCTCCCGTCATCGTCATCGTCGTCGCTGAATAGAGGTCCTGCGGGCTGTGGCGTGGCGCTCTTGCGCTTGATCCCTCGCGAAGGCGCGACTGCTCGTTGTGCGATGTTTTTGGGTTGTTGTTTGCTGAAGGCACTCGGCGTCAGAGCGAACCGATTCGCGGACGGACCCGGTCTCCGCGCACCAGTCTGTGGTGTAGCGCCTCCAGAGGCTGCAGTCTTCGCGGGTACTGTGACTTTCTCGCGGCGAAGGACCGGCTTTTTGGCAGCGACTAGGAAGTTGTTCATGCCTGTCACGCGCTGTCCGCCGGCATTTAAATTAAGCGATTAAAGCTGCCGAGGATAATGATCGTAATCGATGGGTAGCGAGTGGTGAGGCGTAAAGATAGAGGGGGTATGCTATGCAGTGTTCGACAGGGTTTGGTAGTGAATGTTGGTGGGGGAAGAAACAAAGAATGAAGCCCACCAGCCATGTTTGGTGTTCCCTGCCTGGCCGCGTTCGGGGGAAAGAAAGACCCTGGCAGCCTGACAGCCTTTGACAGGCAACCTTGTGTGAAGACTGCATGTCTGATCAGCCAATGAAATGTGACGCCTGCCACGGACTTGACATCGCCACTGAACTCGAACAAGATGTAAGTGAAGTGCTCTTACCCAACCCAACACAACAGCTCGTCCGTGGTCCATCTGAGGATCGCTTACGAAAAGATGAGTAAGAAATACATGCATCTCTGGACAGTATAGTAATTCAATCATGCACTCTGATGCTTCGTGACGTCAAACTCTTACCATTCTCACTTCCATGCAGTACCTACATTTACCTCCATTTGAACCGCTAACAGTCAAGACGATTTCAGTCTCGAATCTATAACTCTCAGGTCTCCAGTTCGGAAAGAACAGCCCGCCATACGAAAATCGAAACGGCATTGAGTGTGAAATTGTGTACGTCCTTCCCATGGTTCCATCTCATTACTGCTCACTAGG